ATTATTCTCTAGAAACTATCCAATTCGATATTTATGTATAATTTAAAATTTCTTTTGGAGTATTTTCATTGTTAATGTATATTTAACATTGAAATGTTATTTTATTCACTTAGAAAACAGATAACTATATCCAGAATAATGCAATCTTAACTTTAATCAACATCTTCATTGAAATGACAAAGACTAAACAATGACATTCACCTTACAGAAATTTATTCTTTGAATTCATACGAGACAAATTATTTTCCGAAATTCTTTCTTTAAAAAATGTAATTCAATGATGTTGGGTTAAATATAAGAAGTGTATTCTATAAAATTTACAATCATCAAATATTTCTTTGATTCCTTTCCGTCTATGTGTATGTGTATGGGGGAGTTTTTTTTTAAAAATTTTTTATTTTCTAAAATATCCCATCTCATGTCAAGTGTTACATTCATGATCTGTTGATTGAATTATAAGATTACAATATTGACTGGCGGAAAAATGTGAAATTTTAAATAATTTTCTGTTGTTGTTGTTGGTGAAATATGGTTGTTGCCGTTTTTTTTTTTTATTTCAGCGAATGATTCCTTTATTTTTTTTTGGAGGGGAAATTATATACACATACAAACATAGATTGAATATAACACTATAAACTATATAAAAAAAGAACAAAATGATGTCCAAATATTGATAAATGGTAACTAAGAGAATTTTAAATATTTAGATTTATAAAGTTATTCGTGGAAAAAATATGATGGAAATAATGAATACAGTAGTCTCTAATCAAAGATGGATATTGGTTAGTAGTGGAATTCAGGATGCGCGTTACGTCCTATTTAAGACTCGTCCGTTGAATGTGCCTGCATCTCAGAGTTGATGTACACTCTGTGACTCGAACCCAGTACCGTAAGTTTCAAACGCCATCGCGTTATCCACTCGGCTACTGAGTCTTCATAGCGATGTAGTCTATAATGTTTAAACAATGAAATAAATATCTCTTATATGTTCGTTTACCAAACATTTGTTAAATGTTCATAAAGCATTTCAGACAATTTATCTTGGGAACCAAGATATATTCTGAGTCCTAATAGAACAGAAAATATATTTTTCGTTTTCTTGGTTACTAAATGATTATGATAGAAACTGTAAATGAATCATGTTTAATCATATTGCATGCTTAAAAGTGATATGCTCAATTTTAGCTATTAGTAATTACATATATGTCCTCGCCTTACCATGCAGGGAAAATCTCTATAAAACAAATAGGATACATACGAAATTCCACTTTTGTTTTGTTAAAGCTTTATTATATTTTTAATGTTGTAATAATGATGAAAGTAATTAGCTGGTACAATTGTCAATTTATGCATATTTATCAGAAGGGGCTTTTGTGGAGATTTCAGTAATTTTGTAGTTGAAATCATGGAGTTCTAGTAAGAAGCAGTAACCAGTGGAGTTCAACCAGTGCTGTAAGCAGATATCAACTCACTGAAGACAATGGGGAACGATTGCTCAACTTCGTGGATCGGTTGAAGTTATACATTAACACCGTTGGATGCCGGCTAATTGATCTAGTGGTTAAACGCTCAAGCGCAAGACTGATAGGTCATGGGTTGGAATCTCGCTATGCGGGATCGTGGATGCGCACTGCTGAGGAGTCCCATAATAGGATGAAACGACCGTCTGGTGCTTCCGGGTTTCCCATGGTGGTCTAACTTCAATTGACTCATGATTTCAACTATAAAATTATGGATATTTACAAATGTTTCGAAATTATAATAATTTTTATCAAAACAAAAGTTATAGGTTTAAAAATTAATCAGTAGTTTATAAACCCTTTCATACGATTATTTTGTGATTATTGTTTGGATGCTTATAACATAAATTTCATAGAAGACAACTTTTCCATTCTCATTCAAGGTTATACTAGTAAGTGAATAAAACACTAAACTTAGGACTTTTAATTTTAAAAGCCGAGGTCATGAATTAATTGAAGCTAGAGCATCATGCAAAACCTGTAAGCACTGGACAGCCATTTCATTCTATTATGGGACTCTGAAGCAGTGCGCAGTTTTGAAATAAGCAAAATGTCTTTGAATTATCGAATAGAAATTCGAAGGTTCAATTCTAGTCAAATTGATAGATAACTCAATAGAAATCTAAATAAATAGAGGTTCGTTGTATTCTTTTTTACACAATTGAACCTCAAAACGTCATTATGTGCAGATCGTATTATAGATGTACTGAATTCTATTATGGTACATGATTGGAAAATACTTTTTCTTGTATTGGTATGGTGTTTTCGTATATACTGATCAAGGCAAAACTAATCTTAGAACAATTGAATGTCTAAATTGTTGTTTTCTGAATATTCCAGTTAGTAGTATTGTAATGAACAAAAAACGACTGGGGACAATCGAATCTTTTTAGACGTAAAAACCTGACTATTTCACTAAATTCTGATAACCATACAGCAAACAGTTAATTTACAAGTTACCAACCAATGGTCTCAATCTTCACTGTTCCTTTTGTAAATATCAATCCATCTTCTCTGATTCCATTGTTCATGCATTTTCCTACTAATTGCGCTTCATTCCTGTCCGTTCCTTATCGATCTTCTGCCAAAATACATTCTATGTCTGACCATCGCCATTTACTACTTATATGGATATAAGTAAACCACACCACAGTATCATTTAAAAGTTAGCAACATTCATCTATTCCATATTATTCTTCTGAACAATAAAAAAAAGCATCACTCATAAAAGTAATGGACTAAGTAGACAATAAATTAAATTATAGGAAATAGTTAATATCAATTCCTTTAATATATCCTAACCGACTGTATACTTTTCTATCATGAATAGAAATTTTATAGTTGACTTAATTTTCCAATTACATTAATAAAAGTTTTAAAATGTATCTAACCATTAGATAATTTAGTCTCAATAATCTTCTATAATGTAGGAAGTAAATGTATGCCTACTGTTTAATACATGACTTTCAATTAGATATTTTGGTAGGGATTAATCATTATTAGTTTGTGTATAATTTTAACTTCAAATGTAATTTTAATCTCAAACTGAAAAGGTAATGAGTTTCGGACGGCTATAATTGTTTAGCATGAAGATTTTTGGCAATTTACATGTAAGACTATATATAAGATTGAATCGATGACACTCTGATTTTGATAGAGGTAAGATACTTTTAGACCAATGATTTGTTCCGTTTACTTTGAGATCTGATTATCTACAATACAATCATTTATGGGGTTATTCCTTCACCACTGGAATGTCTTAAACTAAGATGTACTATTGTAGTGAAAAAAACACCGGTTTCATTTCAGTTCTTTCCTTATTGGTCATCTGCCAAATACATTCTATGTCTAACCATCACCATATACTACTTATATGGATATAATAGGCCACACTATACTATCGATATAGTACTTTCTGATTTCCATTGACGATTTTACTAATTCTAGTGAGTGATAATTGATGACATGATGTTAATTTGCATGTAACGGAACTTACATATAGAATATTGACGTATGTTCACTGCATTCAAAATATTAATTTAATAAAAATGTAGTTGTATAAAACAGATGATATTCCATACTGTCCTGATGATTAGCTAATTTACAGGAAAATATTTTTTTAAATATACGACAGGGTTTTTGAAGCACTGATCAAATGTAAATTATATCGCATTTAGTTAAGTAAAATATTATAGAATCCACCTTTTCATATTCTGTATGATTCTTTCGAATCATAGTTCCTTTTGAATTCCACTTCTGCTCTCTTCAAGTCGACCTTCCTACTCTTCTGCCGACAGATTTTACACTTACGGTTGGTGTTACATACTACTTGTGTCGATAGACATGGGTAGAATACCCCACAGTGTCATTAGAAAAATTGATTTTTAAAAATCCCAAATTGGGCAATTTAGTGGATAGATAAACTTATGAGAGACATACTTTCAATGATCAGAATATATTCATTTACAAAAAATGAAAGTTCTATGTGTTAGTTCTTGTAGTTGAATACTTGATGATAACTTCCTAGACGATTCCTAGATTATCAGAAAATTCTTTAAACTTGAACTTTAAATAATAAAGAAAAAGAACGAAGTAATCATAGAACCTGAACTTTAAGTTTTATTACTGTACAGATTTATAAGTTATCGCTGACTTTTGAATTCTTTTAGGCTACGATAATTTTCAACTCAGAATAATCCATCGTCCAATTAAAGTGAGACATAATTGTCGATTTTCTTGACATTTATAGTGCATTTTCAATGAATGTATGATTGGATAGTGTTTTCAGCCTCCTTCTGACTTTTAAAAACTTCGTTTGGTAAATTTTAGTTGGATCTATTTCATGGGAGTACCATAAATTCAGAATGATCTGATAGTCGGGTACTATACAGGTTTTCGCCACAGCACAGGTATAAATATACTAAATGAAATAACAAGCAATAAAACAATAGTTAACGATGGATTATCATCAGTGTTCAGAGATTATAATCAATGAGCCCTGTTTGTAAAGTATTGTGTTAGTCAAGATGGACATACCTTATAGCATAGTACTGAGGAGATGATTGAGTGATCTTATATCCACGGACTGGAATCTTCATTAAAAGTACCATAGATATAGGATTAACAATCCTTATTAATTTTTTGACATATTGAAACCTCTGAAAATGTTTGCTTCTGATATGGATTGTAATAAATCAATTTAGAGGGATTGTACAAGTTTCGTTGTTTAACTAACAAAATGCTCCTAGTTAGATCATCATCAAATCTTGGAAGCCCAAGACAAACGTTTCGTCCTAGTATGGATCTTCTTAGCAGTGCGCATCCGGGAAACAAATTAACGAACTTAAGTCTCGTTCAAGATTTTTTAAATTATAGACAGATGAGCCAGCAACGTAGTATGATAAAAATATCTAGAACACTCAAAAATAAAACTTTTTTCTACTTCCTTTACCTATTTGTTTGATTCATGTACATTTTTAGTGAATCCAACTACTCAAAGTGAACAACGACAACATCGGACTACAGAAAATCCCCAATTATTAAGAGATAATGATCGTACTAGTAACACAATCACTTCAACAAATATAGATGAAAATTCAAGAAATGCTAAAGAATCCTTATATTTATGGCTCTCTGAGACACAACTTAATCAATTATTGGAGTATAACTTTCTGGATACATATCGAGCTCATGCTGGTCAAGGTAGGAGTTTATCCGATTTAAATTGGGACGCTAATCAGTCACAATTATATCATCAAAGTTTTTGTTACTGGTCGGATACCAATTTACCAAAGCATACATGTTGTACATTTCAAATGGAATTAGGATTATTACAGAAAACTACGGATGAATTGCATCAAAGTTTATCAAATTACTTAGGCCGATGGCATAAAGAACTATCAAAATTAAGAACTGCTTTAAGAGGTAATTCGATAAAGAAACCTTTTTTAAGTCATATTTAGTATTTGCCTTTAAACAGTTTTTCACTTGACATGAGGAAATGTTGCTATTTTTACATTATTCATCCAAAACCGTTCGTATGACTTTTGAAAAAAACAGTTTTACCTTGAATGAGACCACATAAACAATACTGCTCCTAAATCCGCAAATAAGTGAACTATATAGCTGTATTTCTGTTATTTAATATAATACTTTTCATATGCAGAGCGATTTCCAGAAATCATTTAAACAGATATTTAAGGTATGAAATCGAATAATTGGCGTAAGACTGTGTGTGTAATACATGATTACAAAGCAATGATTGATAAGTTGTCTACTCTCTTTAAATTGTTGACTTTTAAATTCAACGAAACATATTAAAATCAGAAGGGGTTTTGTGGATATTATACTAATTTTAATAGTTGAGATCATGAATCAATTGAAGCTAGACCACCATGGAAAAACTGGAAGCACATAGAAGCACAAAACAGCCGTCCAGTGCTTCCAGGTTTTCCATGCAGGTCTAGTTTCAATCGATTCATGACCTCAACTATTAAAATATATTAGTGTCACATTGCGTACTAATGAACATAACTTATAGATTTTACATATAGGAAAATTAGAAATCCATTAATAATTTATTATAACAAAGCAAATACCTACATTTAATTCCACACAAAAATTGAAGACTTGTGAATTAAAAATTATTATCAGGAAGGGTGTTTTGTGAAGATTGTATTAGTTTAATGGTTGAATTCATGAGTCAGTGTAAGCTAGACCACCATGGAAAACCTGAAAGAACTGGATGGCTGTCTCGTCTTAATTTGAGACTCCACAGTAGTGTGCATTCACGGTCCAGCCTACGGGACTGGAATCCACAACCTTCGGTCTCGCAAACAAACGCTTACTTTTAGACCACTGAGCAGGCATCTAAGTGTTAATGCGCAATGATTCAACATGGTTGACTGTATTTTGACATTGACACTGCTAGATGCGTACTCAGTGGTTAAGAGGTGAACGTTTTTGTGTGTGAGACAAGAGGTTGTGGGTTTGATTCCCATATGCTGGACTGTGAATAAGTTCCATGAGTTCCATAATGAAACGAAACGACCATTCAGTTCTTCCAGTTTTTCAATGGTAGTTTAGCTTACATCGACTTGTGAATTCAACTATTAATATAAAAATTAAAAAAACCATTGCCTTCTAAAAGAAAAAAACACTACTGTTTAATTTCTCTTTTTAAAAAAAGATTCATTACTTAAAAATGGCGGCATTAATATCTTTTTAAAATTTGAAATGATAGAAAAATAAGCTAAAAACTACTTTATGTACGTCAGAATTGATATTTCAACCGAAAAAAACTGGGAAAAAAACTGAGGGCATTCATTTACCAAATCTGTTTGTTTTTTAAAGAATGAATACACTTTGGACATTAGCATTTTAATAGTAGTAGTAGTAGTAGTAGTAGTACATTTTGTAAAAAAAACGAAGATATAAACAGTAACCCTTAAAAATGAAACTGTAAATAAAAAGGTATCGATAGAAACATTTAAAACTGGTTTTAGGGTCCAAATAATTTATAGGAAAATAGATTGTAGTCTATTAAAGTTGATGAAAGAATACTACATCATGGGATTGTGTGTTTAATATTGACAAACTGAATTCAAATAAAGTGGAATGTGTATTATGGATTTAATATGGTAAGACTTGGTGAACCATTGATATTTACTGCATTTATTGATGTATACACATTTTCAAGTATTTTTGGAGTCATTAATTGAGTAGCAATTATTTTAAAAGTATCACTCAGTTGTTCCAGTCTGTGGAAAGCAATCATTTATATGACACAAGTTCAACTATCAATTACAGTGGTTGGAAACTGATTATTTAGTTATTCATAATATTGAATACATTTGGTATTGTTTATTTGTATCTTCCTATTGTTATTTAAGGCTGCAATCCATCAGTCTCCTGTTGGTATATGTGCATCCTGTGCGTATTGTCTCGATATCGCTTCAAATACAGAGCTTTTTAAGCAATGATGGATGGTGGCTAGCAGTGGAATCCAGGACGAACGTTTCGTCCTATTTAAGACTCGTCAGCTGGATGTACCTGCATCCCGGAGTTGATGGTGTTTGGAAACTAAATAGATAACGCGATGGTATTTGAAGAGAAAGGTACTGGGTTTGAGTGCAGGAGTGAACATCAACTCTGAGATCCAGGTAAATTCAACTGATGAGTCCCCTGTAGGATGAAACGTGGACTTCGATGCTAGTCACCACGAATTTTTGCTTAAGCATGGTATGCCGCAGAAAATCAGGATTTACAACACTTGTAACTGTCAACAAGTTATAGCCTGTTATGTCCCGATAAGAATAGTGAATGGTAACTTTGGGATTCCTTTATGGACTAATATTGTGCATTTATTTTTTATATTATAATTACTAAATAACAACACTATTCATATTCATGTTCCCCTTATTAAGAGTTTTATTTTGACCTATGAATTATTCTTATATGATTTACCATTCTTGAAGTATTCCCTGTCCATCATTTACTATCTCCCTTATTCACAGCCACATTTAGCTAAATCTTGTGCAAATGTTTTTTTTTTATTTAATGGTACGATGTAGTCTGTCTGTTTGGTATATGGTTAAAATAAATGATTCATAACACAGAGGATGTTATTGGTGTTCCGGACTTAACTGACTGGGCTAGGCAGAAAACAAGACCGACAAAGGCTCTAGACTGCTCGTACGGGTTTCCTTGTATCATTGATTCGATCGATAATTCACTTCTATCTAATCGATGGCATCATCACGTTGTACATTAACAGAGCATTCGGGCCTCAAGGTATAACATAACCTTAGTGAGATAATAATATTGCTTATTATTACATGCAATAACTATTCATCATTCATCAGTAATGAATTATTCCATTGGAAATGTATTACTGTTAAAATAATTCAACTCATTAATTAATTCTTTACATTACAATTATCAATGATCAGAAAGCAATGAAATATATTCTTTTCATTACTAGGGTTTCATTGATATCCAAATATAATAATAAGTTTTTCATATTTATCAAATCAGCAATTTTGTTTTGCATTACTTAAAATAAAATCACTTAAATATTAACATTACCGTTTACATAACTCGATACTTTATATTACTGATCAGAGGGGGTTTTGTGGAGAATTTAGTATTTTCATAGTTGAAATCATGAGTCAATTTATGCTAGACCACCATGGAAAACCTGGAAGCACTGGATAGCCGTTTCGTCCTATTATGGGACTCCTCAATAGTTCGCGAGATTCAAACCCATGACCTACCAGTCTCACGCCAGAGCATCCACGTGGATGCGTGCTGCTGATAAGTCCCATAACAGGACGAAACTGCCGTCCAGTGCTTCAAGGTTTTCCGTGGTGGTCTAGCTTAAATTGACTCATGATTTCAACTATGATAATACTAGTCACCACGCATTTTTGCAGGTACATCCAGCTGACGAGTCCCAAATAGGACGAAACGCGCGTCCTGGATTCCACTGCTAGCCACTATCCATCTCTGCTAACCATGCTTGTGAATTAAGGTATATCGAGGCAATACGCACAGTATGCACATATGCCAATTAGAGACTGACCAGTTGCAGTCCTAACAAATCGATGGGAAGATTCAAACAAACAATACTAAGTTGTATTTATGATAATACTTTATATTACTGTCAATCTCCAACATATATATCTATCAATATTTAATTGCGTAATTATAAATAATATGAATTTCATCAACAAATAGTCCTGTAATGTTGTATAGTGCTTACTATATACTAACTAACCAAACAGAAAGAAACACCCAGTACATTATTCTCATATCTTAATAATTATATTTAAATAAAGATTATTCAATCTAATCTAATACATAGATGTATTTAACAACAGTATTATAACTAGACAGAGACAAATGTTGAAAGAAAGAATAGCATATGTTTAAACTATGTATAATGTTTAGTTCAAAGCGTCAACTGATTTTTTCTCTGTTTTTGTTTTAAAAAAAGAAAAAAAAACAAAAAAAGAGAATATTATTCAATAAAAATTACTTAGTCAAATTATTTTCATACGTTAAAAAAGAAAAAAAAAGATAAGAAAAAAGAAAAAGAAAATAGTAAAGAAAAGAAAGAAAGGAAAGAAAAAGAGTACTACAAATATACGATATATAAGTAGCAACTGTTTTGACATTTGCATATTGTCAGTATTTTCTTTCTTTTTTTTCTTTTTTTCTTCACAAAGTCTAAAAAATGATTATGTAACAATTAAGAGATTAAGTTAGCTAACTATACTATACTATCGTTCAAAGCTTTTGCTATATATTCTATATAATCTATTAAATTGGATTATTTCCAGTTTTGTTTTTTTGTCTTTAACATTAGACAAACAGTTTGAACCGATCAAATTAGACTATATATTGTATCATTATTTTAACAGTTGATCCAAAATATTTTGTTTAAATGATGTAAAAAAAGACAAATCAGGCATTGTAATGTTGTAATTGCTGTGTAGCTACTAATTTTCTGTCATTCATAATAGCTTATATAACTCTTTGTATAGAATTTGTCATGATGATAGGAGGTCGGCATTATTCTACACATCTTTTCTATACACTATGAAATAAGTCATTATCTGTTGTTAGGCATGAAATAAATGACATGATACGATAATGATTATAAAAAATGAAAAAAATTTTTTGTTGCTATGACTGATGTTTCTTTTATAAAACTTCAGTTAACTAGTTATGAAAAAACTAAGGCGGATTAATTTAGTTTGCAATAGATTTGAACTAATCTGTTGATTATATTGTAATTTGATTTTAATCAGTATTCATTGGTTTAAATGCATCATTTGCTAAATACTATGATCAAGCCATCATCTTATAAGTTTGTTTAGATGTTTATATAAACACGTTTTAAATAGGAATAAAAAATACAC